TTTGCTTCACGCAAGGAAGGCTGGCCTGGAAGGCTTCCATGATAAGAAACTGGTTTATCTTTAAGATGCCACAAGTTTCTATGAGGATATTATGTTGCCCACTGACTGAAGGGTTGCCTTCTTTAAGCAATTGAACTAGAGCATCTGATGAGCAAGAAACAGAAAGGAGGTTTCTCTCCTGAACCCACCTTCTGCTCATTCTAGCAGTTCAGCTGACAAACGCTCAGATTTGTGAAGCTTCCAAATTAGCTCATGAACTTAGGATAACCATATTGCTCTCCTTGCCTAATATGTGTAAGATCAAAGGTTCTTACACATATTCTTACACAAGAACTGCGGAGGTTAGAGTAGCTGTGGATAGACTGCTGTTTTTGTTGGTTTAGCCCCAACTGTGAAGTCCCAGCCCTTAGACATGTTGAACATCTCTATCGGGTTACCCACTGCTCTTTTCCACTTTTCTTTATGCAGATTAAATTAGGGGTGAAGTTTCTAATGGGACGCTCTTGTTACACAAGTGACAATCCAATTCCTGCAAATCCCTTAAACATCTAACCTCCAAGAAGGAAAGCTTCCTTTGAATACATTTTGATTTCAGTGGCTGGAATTTCACGTTCGGCTAAGCCATTAGGTCACTTATTGGGACTGTGCTTAACGCAATCTGAGAATAATGATAATCCAGCTTGTAGACATGATTTATCTCTTTCTGTTATGCACATGTCCTGTTCTGTTATGGGGCCACTTTGGCAGAATTTATAAGTTTCATGAAGCCATAATATGGTTTCTTATTTTTGTCTTAGCCAGTCTGGCATAGTAGTTAAGGCATCAGGCTGGAAACCGAGAGACCCTGAGTTTTAGTCCTGCCTTAGACATGAAGCCAGCTGGGTGACCTTGGGCCAGTCACTTCCTCAGCCCTAGGAAGGAGGCAATGGCAAACCACTTCTGGAAATCTTGCCAGGAAAACTGCAAGGAAACGTCCAGGCAGTCACCAGAAGTCAACAATGACTTGAAGGCACCAAAAAAATATATAATAAATCCTCCATGTACCCAGCCAATTGTGATTTCTTCAGAAATCATGGATTTAAAAAGTATGGCATAGCCAAAAGTATCAGCATAGCAACAAAAAGTTCTCTGGCTTAATTGCAAAAACTGGATTAATTGAAACATGGCTGAATTTAAGGTTCCTCAAACTTTTTGGTCCATTAGAAATATTGCGAGCATGTTTCGGGCAGTCTCACGAAATGGCTGCAATATTGGATATGGCCAATTACAAAATATTGTTTCTCAGAAGGGAATCCAGTTAATTACTTTCCATCTTCCCTCTCTAGAGTATTTTCTGCCATCTTGGCTTATCCCTGCTTTCTTTCTGGGGAGATCAGCAAGCATTCTCCTTCACCTCTTATATTCTGGGGTCTACTTGGGGTCCAGAGCCATGGTTGTAATTCCAGATTAGGTTGAGGCTAATGCTTTAGGTGGTAGCCTGCTATTTTCCCATTCATGTTTTCATTAAAAGAATCTTTAAACAAATAAAACAAATAAAAATAGGTGGACACGGACCCTGGTGGTTATCAACCAACGTTGGTGGACTTCTCATTCCCAAGTGCAACATTGGGGACCCAGGACTTGGCCAATGGGTAAACTTACTCATCTCCCTTAGGTGTTTAAATTCTGGGTGATTTGATCCCAAAGTTGTTCTATTCAAGTGGCGTGTGTCGGTTGCACAATTTGATGACCACACAGAGCAGCTTTCTGAACCCTAAAGGTCACAGATTGTGCCATGGATGAAACAAAATACTGCTGACGTTCATTTCAAATCAAGCCGCATTCTCACCTCCCCATCCCAAAAAGAGGAACCAGGAAGCCACAATGCTACAGAATTTTAGATTCACTCTGTCTCAGAAATGAGGGGGGTAGGAAAGGGTTCAAGAAAGACTCCCAAGTTGAACAAGCATCCTACAAACTGACCGTTGCTTGAAGGCAAGAACTGATGGTATAGTAAAAGAGAGAGAGAGAGCGAAAATCAGCTTTCTTCCTTTGCTGTTTTATGGGCACATCTGCCTGAGGGAAGGGACAGAGGTCATTGTGTTGTTCTCAAGGGTTTTTTCCGAAGCAAATTAGTTACCAAAGAGGCAGTGAAAGAAAAGGAAACCTGGGTGGATTTATGACAGCAAACAAAGAGGCACTGAGCTCTTTCCCTAAAAAAAAGTGGTGAGTTTGTAGAGTTTCTATGAAGTGAGTCCTACCACGATTTTGTCATAAAGGGTTCAACATACACTTAAGCAAAGGATGTCCACCAGTCCCACGCAGTTCTGAGGACATCCTTTCTCCCTCCCTGCCCCCCCCCAAGTTTTGCCAAACTCAAGTAGGCTTAAGCAGGGTTATAGTTAGACAGTGGACATTGCATACCTCTTCAACCAGAAGGACCCTCAGCCATCTATTCTCAGGGCTAAAGATGCCCTGATCTTCCAATCTCACCTCATAGGGCTTAATTTCTAGTCCCCTGTCATTCTCCTGGCTCTTCTCCAAACCTCTTCCAAATTCTCTGAATCCTTCTTGCAGTGTGTGGTCCTAGAACTGGACAGCATACCCAGGATGGTGTGGGCCAAGGCAGAATGACATGGAATAAGAATGTCCTGTAGATTGGAAATTAAACTTCTGTTGATGCAGTCTAAAATTACATTTACCTTTTTTTGCAGCCACATCATTACTGCTGACTGATATTCAGTCTGCAACCATCTACACTCCTAACCTCTTTTTCAGAAGCACCGTTACCAAAGCAAGCATCCCCCATTCTATTCCTGTCCATCTGATGTTGGTTTCCTAACTGCTAACTTTCAACACATTTCTCCAACTCACCAAGATGGCTTTCCTTGGTTAAGTATGGCCATCTGCTGGGAAACAGTTCCCACCACATATTGAGCCACAAACTATTAAATCTTATTTAAACCTAGTTGTGTAAGCTAGCAATGGAATGGTGATCCACTTTGGGTCAACGCAAGGTTAGAGATGGAAAAGCACATTAAATGAAACAGATTCAGCTCCCAGTTCAATTTCTACTCCCACTCCCAAGCTGTTAGTTCCATCAAGTAGGAATTTGTGTCCTGATGTATACTGGCTAGACTCACACAGCATCTTTGTAATAAGGCAAAATGTGGTTTGTTTCATTGAACTTAGAATTTTGTGCAAATCCATTGTGATTGACATACCGGGATTTATGGCTTAGCATTATGAACCTAGCCCATTTGTGGCTTATTGAACAAACCATAGCTAAATACAATGTGTGAATCCATCGAATATCTTTCCTATCCCTTGTCCACCCTGATGCCGGCTTCTGGTAAAAACAGGGAAATTCTGTATCTAAATGATCAGGGCATCAATATGAAAGAGCCCAGCTTATATCATAAAATATGAAACTCCATCCAGAAAGTTATTCCTTTATTCTGTACACAGAGACTTTTTAAGGGAGATGGGGTGGGGGGCGGGGGAGGACGGTACTAAAGTCCACAAATGCTCAAAGTATAATTTAGTATTTGAAATGATCAGATGGATCTTGCATTCAACGAAGCAAAACCCTAGTTTAGGTTCCACAATTACTGGACCATTGATTTCAATGGACAAAAAACAATGGAGGGGGAAAACACACATGAATGAAGAATAAACATTTTATTTCTGGCCTCTTGGAGACCTCAAATGGGCCCGCCTGTACACAAGGAGGTTATTCTAGAAACGACAGCTTCAAAATCATTCAAATGTTTTCACCAGCTGATGTAAGCATCCTTTAAAAAACAACAACAGACAAACAACAAACCTATATCCTCCACACAGTTAAGAAGATGCCTCTAAATTCAGAAGACAAACATCTCCTGCTTTTTGACAGTGGTGGCTTAAAGAAAAGCAATCTTCAAACACTTTTCACCTCTTTAAGAGAGAGTTCCCTCAAAAGTGTCAGGTCATTCACAAAAGTCCATGAAGTCGCACATCCTTAAGGGATTTTATTATTATTATTATTATTATTTTCCATCTCTCCTTATTATGTTTTGGTTGCTCATCAAGAAACAGTGTCAAAACGGTTGACACCCCAGCAATTTTTTTTCTCCATCTACACGGAGAAATACTAATCAGCTACCATAGCCGTACATTCATTCACATCAGAACAGCTGAAGAATGAAGAAGATGAAATGTTTTATGTTCAAACGTTGTTTTGCTTTTGTTAATCACATGTTTGGTCCACCACATGTACATTAAATTCTTCCCTATTTCTTTCATTAAAAATAATGTTATGAGATCTTTTCTTGAAATTGGAGAGAAATGCCTCCTGCACAAGAATTCATTCAACTGTTTAGTTGTTCCATTAACTGCAGCTGAACTTAAGGGACCTCCATCCAGCATCGTCCATCCACAATTAAATACCTTTACTCTTTGTTAATATAAATATCTACCACACACTGGAAATAATGGTTGGCTTCACCCATGAGATGAATAATGGTTTATTGAATAAGTTTAAAAGATGAGGCTCACCTACAGATAAGCTACAAACAATGGTTTATAAACCCACATCAGCTGGGTTCATACACAGTGTGAATCCCAAATCAAAGAAACCATTTTATGACTTAGTGTGTAGTTGTACTTTGGTTCTTCCAAGACTCACAAAACAAACACACTGAATCCACGCCTGGCCCAGGACAGGAAGGGTCTGTGAGAAATCCGCAAGCTAACAGTAAGGTGGAGTTGCGGGATGGCCAACCCTTCATTTAAATGCAAATGTTGTTTGGGAGTAGCCAGTTATCTTTGACATTAGGCAGAACCTTAGTCAACTGCTAACCCAGCACCTGGGATCCTATTGTCAAGGATGTGTAGTAAAGAGACCTCCTGAGTCATCTGCAAAGCCAGTCTAGGCTTGGGCTTGAAAAAGAGATTGAAAGAAGAGGACGTGTGAAGTCATCCCCCTCCCCAAGAAGCAGGATGCCTGGCCAAGAAAAAGCTAGGGGATGAACTTCATCTACGTGAGTTATATTTTGGAAAAAGAAGCCAGGATGTATCCAGGTTCTGTACGATGCAACAGCAGCAGCAACTTACCAGCACAAAATTTTCCTTCGGCCACACCCTACGCAGATTACATAGGATACCATCATGTCCAAAGTATGGATAATCGTGGACAACCTTCTGGGACTTGGGGAACACATTATGGGCTGCCAAGAGAGGATTGGAGTGCTTACGGCCCAGGACCTTCCAGCACTGTAACCTCCACCCAGATCAACAGGTCTTCTCCTGGACAGGTCTCCTTCACTCCTGCTGATTACAATTCCCTGAATCCTGCCGGTTCCATGGCTTTACCTTCTCTAGACGCAATTAATTCAGAGCCAAGCTCTCCTCCCCTCAGTCAACGGCACGGCTCCTATGAATGGATGAGGAAAACAGTCCAATCTACTTCAACAGGTATGTTGGCAACCTAAATTCCGCCCCCCCCCCAAAAAAAATCTGTAAACTTGTTGCAAGTAACCTTTCCCCACACTGGGCACTTTCTGAAAACAATGGGACATATTATCCCAAACTGGAAAGGGGTTTTCTCATCTTCCGATCAGGCTTTTGAACAACGACTTTGATTTATTGTCCTAGCTGGCATTAATCTGGACCTTCTGGCTAATGACCCCATGATAGGGCTTCTTTAAGGGGAAGGGTGAGTAAGGAAAAATGGGCTGAAAGAGGAAGAAATGGATTTAAAAAACAACTTCAGCTCCTCATATAATATAAGGGATAGAACTGCTGTCAAGTTGAGTGGGGTCTACTCCTGAAAGAGTTTGCGTGGGTTAGGGTCTTGGATGTGCTGATTATTAATGTTGGGTTGGCCTGAGACTTGAATGCAAACCAGTTAAATAATACACTCAGCAGTCATCTGATGAAGCGAGCTGTAGCTCACAAAAGCTTATGACTTTCCATAAAATCTGTTAGTCAGAAAAATTGCTACCAGACTGATTTAGTGCTATCGTAGTCAGACACAACTTTCCTCCTACACCGCAGGGACATTGAAATCCTCATTGAAATCCCATTGATTACCATGCTTCTTCCTCTAAATCCCAGTGAATCTGCACCAGCCCATTGCACTTGAAATCACCCCAGCATGGTGAACTTTACACCTTTTTTATTTATTTGCATGACAGCAGAACCAAACTGGCATTTAAGGGGCAATATATGCATTGAGAGATTCCTATCTCGAGAGGGACATGCGTAGCACGGGTTCTCCATCACCTAGGTTCACTTTCAGAGTCGCTTCCATTAACATTTCAAATGGGTGCTCAGGATAAAAGGGGCTCTTGCTTAGAATCCTAGGCGCCCTCTGAGAATGCAGGAATCTAAGAAGCTAGTTACAGAAAATGCGTTTGAACTCTTGATAGGGCACCCTCTGGAATGTTAATAACAAGTTGATTTAACCAAGATGACAGGAAAAAGAGATTGTATACATCTTTACAAAATGCATTTCAGACATTCTGGCAAATTATCCTGCTTGATGCTAAACTGGAACAGAGGTCTGAGAAAATTAGTTACAGTTGTGTTAATACTTGTATTAACACATTAAATACCAGTAAAAAAGAGTCTCTGTAGCTCTGGGTTGAACTGGGTTGAGTTCTTGGTGCTGTCTGAGCTGGGTGGTTTGCTTGGAGATGTTTTGTTACCCAACCAGGTAGGTAACATCATCAGACGTTAAATAACTTCATAATAATATATTAGTATATTTTAATAAGTTAATAATCAGTCTCCATAACTCTCTACACATCTAGCAGCAGTCTTCATATAGCATGCTTCACCAGATAAGATTTAATCACAGTTGTTGTAAAAGAAAATCCAGTTGAATTCCAGGCTGTTTGGTGAGTTTACGGTTCAAAGTAGTGTGAGAACCACATTATGTGTGTGTGTGTGTGTGTGTGTTTAAAATAAGATTCATCCCAAAGTGAGCTTTGTGAATTCACAGATCTTGACCGAGTAGGCTAAAAAGACTTTCCTATGATTCTTCTTAAAAGATGGTGGTGCCAGTTTTCATTATTTTGTCTAGAACTTTACTGGAGGACATCTTGAGCTGATTGCTAGAAAGCAGTCGAGGTTTTTTAGCTCCCAACTGTTTAACAATGGCATAATAACAATGTCACTGTTATTTATATATGCATGTATGTATGTATGTAAAGTTTTCTCTACAGCCTTCAATTATATTGCGAGAATAAAAAATAATTGGGCTTAAAAAGTATGGGTTGTACGGGTATGAGACAGGAAGTGAGTTCTGATCAGAGCTGGCATTCAGAACAAATTCCTGGGCTGACAATTGAAAAGGTTTCCCCAAACTGATGCCTTTCAGATGCGTTGGACTACAATATCCAGAATTCACAGCTCCCCTGTTTGGAAACTCTGGCCATAGTGATCTGAGGGCATTCTAGAGAAATTTGAAGAAATCTTAATTGGGGAAAGGTTAGCAAAGGCTGATTTATTATTCAGATCTTGTCTCTCATCCCTAGCTTCTCATTTTGTTTTTAAAAAGATCCACAAAGCTTCCAATCTGGTCACCTTGCTGTAAAGCAGTGTTTTCCAAACTTGGCAAATTTAAGATGTGTGGAATTGGTGGGGCTGGGGAATTGTGGGAGTTGATGTTCACACATTTAAAGCTTGAAAAGCACTGCTGTAAACCAATCAGTTATGTCAGGATTACGAACCAAAACTGGTAGATCTCATTTTCAAGGCAAATTAGTTTTTACCTAACCCTTTATAAATGAATATTTAAACATATCCCTCTTGAGCTGCCGAATAGAAAAAAAATGTCTTGCTTCTGAGACCCCCCTGTTCTTAACAGTCATTCAGCTTATGATAACAGCTTATCATATTAATTAAAGAGGATAAGATGGTGAGATCTGCAGATAATAAGGGGTAAACCCCTGGTTTGAATTAAGTTATCAGAAGAAGGCTTATAGAAATCCCTAATATATTTAACCCTCTTTCCATACTAATAGTCTCATAGGTAGATGGGTGGGTGAATGGATGGATGGATGGATGGATGGATGGACGGACAGATAGATCAACATCTAGCCCACAGCTTGCCCATACAACTGAATTCCCTTCTTTGACTTGGAATTCTCTGACCCCTTTGAGACAGCAGCTCCCAGAATTCCCAGCTAGTATGGGTTCTGGGAATTGCATCCATAGGAGGCTGCAATAGAACATCTGGATTCACACAATGCTAGGCTAATCTAAAATGGGGTTGGATGGCTTGTGGTTCACTATGTTGTGGGAGCTCAGCCCTTGGGTTAGCATCTTGTTTGAATCAGTCCATTTCCTTGAAGGTAAAGGGTGGTTTGTTTGGCTAGGCCCACATGATGTGAAGAGTGCGGTTGTGTTTGGTTAACCTGGGTTTAGCATGGTGTGAATGCATGAAAAGAAGGGTTTGACTTACAGAACTTCCTCCATCGGGTGCATTCTAGAAGTGTAAGGCTACAGTTCCCATTGCTGGCTGGTGAGGATGGTGGGCCACACCTTTGAGAGGCCTTAGATGGGAGAAGGCTCTTCTAGTAGATCTTACCAAATAAACAAGAGTTTATATCCTTGTGCATCTGACCAGGCCCAACCTTTGTGTTGTAGCAGACGGAGAAGAGCTTTGAATATGAATGTTACAAGCCCAGAGAGACCGTTGTTCCTCCATTCATCTCTGGAATACTGGAAAATTTCCTCCGTACAGACCCAGATAAAAGCACAACACGGTCCTGTTTCATAATAGGAAATCCAGGGGAATTAGTAGTCATGCTTTAGCCTCAGAGCTAATTCTAATGAAGCTCTTGGCATCTAACCTGCTCATACCAGAAACTTTCCCTTCAAGCTCTGCCTTTCTTCAACCAGGGCTAGTGGGTCCACAGCTAGAACATGGTCTGCCCCTTTCCCCTAGCAATCGGAGCTCTGCCATCTCCAACTGTGGATGCTTTGCTCACTTTACCATTGTTCAGGTCCACTCACCTATCTATCCTCCATGAATACATGGAATGTTCTTTCCAAAGCCTTCCTAAATGAGGTATTGAGGGAACGAGGTCCAAAGGCTAAGGACAAGGGCTTTCTTGTGCAGGTCCTCAGCCCAGCTGCCAATAAATCACTTTGACAATTCCTCCTAGTCTTAATATGCAGAGGAGCAAGACAAACATCTTAACACCATTTTATGGACCCCTGTCATAGTTTGAGCTTGAGGTCTTTTTTCAAAACTAAAAAAAAAAGTGCTCAGCCACCTTTTCAGAGAAGAGGGGCTGATTCATTCTCTGCGATTGTTCCACTGCTCTTCTCTAAGAGGGCCAAATCTTTTTGAAGAGAGGAAGTGCACCCTTCCTCTCTTCTTCTTGGGAGAGGAAGGATGCACATTTTGGCATGACATTGGCTAGATTCATGTATCCCACTAAGCAAGAATATGATTTGCTTGGTTTGGGCCACGCATAGAGTGAGTTGGGTGTTGCTACAGAGCTGTGGTTTATTCCACAAACCATGATAAAAATATGCAATTGTTTATGGCAATTCTCATGATGACCTGTTAGGACATTCATAAGGTATTATTTTGATGTACATGCAGACTTTTCGAAGATGGCAAAACACCTTCTTGGAAATAACTTCTTGTCTGGAGATGTGGTATAAAGTACCTTCTATAGATGCTGTTGCTTATGTGGCAGATGGCCAAGCTTTGTTGAATCACTTAGTTCCTTCTGAAGGTTTATTTAGCACCCACAGTGCCAGCTGCTCCACTGGGGGAGGGCAGATGTTTGACTCGAGAGTTTCAGGCTGACTTCCAGGACTGCTGAAGCAGAGTGTCTATTATCAAACACTGTTGATCTGCCCCACAGTTTCTTGAAACAAAAAACATTTCTGCAGAGAAACTGTTAAGAAACAGAAGTGCCATCACAAATATTACCTTAGTAGTATTTTTTTCTCTTCTTCCTTTTGCCATCATTTCTTACTATTGGTACCCCCAGGGCCATTTGGGTGGGAACAGTGAGAACCAATTGCTCCCAGTCCCCAAAAAGGAGGGTCCCATCCAAGACACACTTTCATATTTGAAATGATCAGATGGACAATAGTTGTTGTTCAAGGTAGTAAAACGAATCAGTTATCACATGAGTTCAAGAGTTTTTCTGGGCTACTGAATATAATGGACCAAAAAAAGGGGGCGGGAGGAAAAAATGGATATAGGATGCTATGAGGAAAAGGATGAAATTCAGATGAATAGCTTCTCTTCCAAAGTGTTCATGCACCACCTTTCTACGGCATTTCTCCTGCAACACATAACAATGGGGGGTGGGCAATTTCTGTTCCTTCTGCTTTTGCCTCCCCAGCCAAGGCTTGGTTCCTGGTGATCTCATATCCAAGAACTAACCAGTCCAACCATGCTTAGATTCTTCCAAGATCATCTAAGATTGGTTAGTGCAATC